TGGGCCTCCGTGGGTCCCAGCCAATCAAAGGCCTTAATTTGCATAACCGGCCCCGCCCACTCGCCCCAGCCCAGGGAAGCTCTCTGAGAACACAAAGAAGGCCCTCGTAGGGGGAGAGGGTCCACTCCTGATTCCCTACCCCGAGGGTTTGGCATCACCTTTTCGGCGCGTTTATGGGTTTTTCATGGTCACCCTGATATGGGAAGGGAAATGGGGGGGGGGGTTATAGAGCTTTGGCCCAAGATGTCTTAAGAAGTCGGATCACTTCTCCCTGAAGTACTTCTAACCGAGCTACCCTCCTCCCGTTCCAGGGCACACAGTTCCGTGTCTTCGTCTCTGAGCCCTCCGAGCCCCATTCCTTCCCCTCCCCTTTTTCCAGCCTCCCCAATCTCTGTGCTTCCTCCCGTAGGCTGCTGCCCACTACTGGCCTTCTGTTGTACTGCAGCCCTGATCAGCAGGTTCTGAGTATAGCCTTCATAGATGCTCCCTGACTTGCCCAAACCTACCCCTGTCCAGAGAGCTAGAGGTTACTGCACTAAAACAGAAAGGACCTGGTCTAGTGGCTTTGATGCCTATGATGGCAAAAAGCCGATGCTTGAAAGTGTAAACTCCTCAAATTATCTTGCCCCTCCTTCCTTCTCCTACCTTCCGGTCTGTACTGGGCCACAATGGTGACTGACTGGCCAGCCCGTTTCAGAGCAGCTGCAGCCTGCTCATGAGTTGCATTCCTCAGGTTGACGCCATTCACCTGTTGAAAGAGAGGAGCTATGAGCCACCCCTAAAGCAAGAAAGAGAGTCCTATGTCATAGCAGTTAGGACAGGGAGATGGGTACCCATCCCTAAGCCTACTCAGATGCCTTTCTCAATATCCCACCCTCACCCCTAAGAGGAGACATAAAGGATATGGCATCCCTAGTGTGGTAATTATCTTTATGAGGTCAAATGCCAACCAGGGTTAAAATAAAAGGAACATTCATTTCCTCCTCAAGGATAAATCTCATCTCAGTCCCTGTCCCTCACTAAAGACATACAAAAGAAAATATAAGTTTTCTCCAGCTCTTAGCTTTTCATACATCTCAAGAAGTGTTCCTTAGAGAAAGCAAGGTCTCCTCTCCTCCCTTTTAGACTGGCACGGCTCCTATCCTCCCACCTTGCCTTTGTCTCCTCACCGATAAGATCCGGTCTCCCCTGCGCAGCTCCCCACTCAGGTCAGCTGGGCCTCCTGCCAGGATGAAGGAGACAAAAATGCCTTCTCCATCCTCTCCTCCCACGATGTTGAAGCCCAGGCCTGTGGAGCCCTTGTGCAGGATGATCTTGCGGGGCTCTCTGGTGGGAAAGCAGTGGAAGGGTCAGAACAAGGTAGATATTATCTGGCATCCCTACGAGGGCCTGTCTGGAACAAGTCCCATATCACTGCAGAAGGACTTGAGTCCCTATGTATGATAGCCTGTTCCTCCCTTTCTCTCCTAGAACCTGCTTGGCTGCTGTTTTCTGCCAGGTGCCAAGTTTCAGTTCCTCTTCCCTCCCTTATTCCTGAGGGCTTGGAGTCAGCTCCCCAGTGGACAGTCCCCTACTCTCTCAGGTCAGCAAAGCCCTAGCCTGGACTCTAAACACTATAGTTCAGAGCCCATTCACTGGTCCTCTTCCTCCCCAGATTCTCCTATCCTACCAACTGGTGTGATGGAGCTGGGGCCACAGAAGGGGAGCCAGTTAGGAGCAGTGGAATCACTCTGGAGTTGATTGCACTCTCCATCCATAAAATGCGCATACTTACTTTCCACACGCTCCTTTGCTCTTTTAAAATTCCACCCCCAACTCTGACCCCTCCTACCTTCCCCAATAACAGATGTAATCACCAATTACTATGCACCCTGGCTAAGTGATGTGGGAGACAGAGATAAAGAGTTCCCAGGTCCCCCAAGGGGGCACAAGAGCCTAACAGAAGCAAGGGAACAAATACATAGAAAACCTGGACTACAACTAACCATGTGTAAGAAATCCCTCAGTAAATGGTCACAGTGTCATCAGATGAGGGCAACAGCCACTCAAGTATATCCATATACAGACTCCCAGCACACTTTCAGGCCCACCACATTCACTTTTAAGCATCTTTCATCAGAGGAGCCCCAAGTCCAAGATTCCTCCTTTCTTGCTCCAGGTCTAGGCCCTAGGCTTCCTCAGTGAGTCCCGGATATTCTTGCTCGAAGCCCTCCTCTCCTCCTACCTGGCATCCCCTCCAGGTCGTAGGGAGCGGAGCGGCCAAGCCCACCTCTGCGAAGCCCTCCTCCAGGCCGAGGCTGAGGCCGAGCCCAAGCCCTGGGCCAAGCCTGAGCCCGAGAACTTGAGCGCCCTCTCCATGGCTCCTGCGGTTCTCCCCCGTCCGCCTATCCTTCCGGGGCCCCACTGCAGCCAGCCTAGCAGCCTAGCAGGCCCCACCCCACGGCAAACCTGTCCCCCGGAACCCTGGCCGGCTTGACCAGTTCCACAGAGGCCGCCGCCAGAGTGGGGCGGGGCCGGTCCCTATGAAGCCACCTGTCCCTCCAGCCTCCCTGCGTCCCACCCAACCCCACTGGCCGCGCGGCTTTCTTCTGTAATTCGGCATGATTGCAGCAGAGGGGGCGGCAACTGTCTCGGGGCAGGAACCCCCGCAGCCTCCACCTCCTCGGTCCCCAAAACACTCCACCCCACCCTTTCTCTGCACTTTGGATCGGGGCCACACACTTGGCACTCCCCCTGATGGTAGAACTTGTCCCTGCAGTCTCTTCTGTTCCTTCTTAGGGCCCCAAGGGTTGAGAGAGGGCCTCAGACCCCAAAGATGGGAGCGATGAGGGCCTTGTCCTCTTCTTTGCCATACTACACTAGGCCTGTGGCCAGCCAGAAGCGGATTCCTCTCCTCCCCACCCCTATATAGGGGGTGGGATAGTCTCACCTGGTGAAGTCCTCCTCAGCCAGCATGTGCCTGGGAATTGGAGAATAGCGGGCGGGGGGAACCTGAGGAGGAGCAGGGTAGCTGACCTTGCTCTCCACAGCCCCCAGATAACCCAGGCTGGAATTATGGCTTATGTGGTTGTCAGCCAAGGCAGTAAAAGCTGGAATCAAGAAAGGGCGAGAAAATTTCAGAGACCATTCCACGTAGGTACCTTCCTCTCCTCCCCAAGGACTGTCTCTCACACCCCACCTCAAATGCACCTCAGCACCAAGGGCTGCTGATTCCTCAGGCCTCTCTGCCCCACTCCACCCCAAGGATTCCTCCTCCACAGTCCCTTTCTGAATCCTGGGCTCAATCCTGTGAGTCTTAGAAAGAACTGAAGTCAAGGCAGTCTACAAAGAAAGGCATGACTGGAGGTGTAACTAATAATAATCCCTCACATCTCTATAGCCTAATACAGTTTTCCAAGGGCTTTCTCGTCCATGATCTCATTTGAACCTTGCAGCAGGCCTATGAAGAAGGCAGCACATATATCATTAGCTCAGCTCCTTTTTGCCAAAGCGGAAACTAAAGACAGGTGAAAGGGACTTGTCCAAGGGACCAGCTATAAGGTGTGGACTCAGTTCTCCTGAGCACTAGTCCTCCGTTCTCTCTCCATCTTAACAAGGGGTATGCACTTCTTCCCCTACAGAAACCAGGGGCAGGGGCTTCAGCCCAGGGACAGGGCAGATGGGTACGTACTGCTGGCGTAGTCAGGGGGTGCGTACATGTCGTTGAGGTGAAGGCTGCCTGGCTTGGCCACCTTCAGATAGACCATATCAGAGGTGTTCTTCAGTGAGGCCACAGCTTCCTCATGCCTCACATCCTGCAGATTGGTGTTGTTCACCTAGAAGAGGAGAGGCCTTCGGGCTAGCACTTGAGAGAAGGAAGGGCATCTCAGGGACTCCTGAGAGGGGCCCTTTCAGTGAAATTCAACAGTGCTCTCACAGAGACCCAAGGACAGTGCTGTGAAGAGCAGAGAAGCCTGGGATAGGGGTAGGGCAGCTAAGGGACTCCCAGCCATGAAAAGAAGTAGGGCCTTGGTATCTGATACGCCCAACTCTGATGATGCTCTTGAAATTCCCCACAATGCCTAATACCTGAATGAGGTTCAGGTGGAGTGAGAGGCTGCTAGAGCTCCACCTTCCCACCCTACCATTTGGGCATTTCTGTGAAGACTGTCTCACCGCCAGCAGCCGGTCCCCGATCTGTAGGCGGCCATCCTTCTGAGCAGCACCCCCCTCAATGATCTTGGTGATGTAGATGCTGTTGTCTCCTGGGATGTGCTGGTTGCCAATGCCCCCAGCAATGCTGAAACCCAGGCCTGGGCAGGAACCAGCAGGGAGTGGGAGAAGGCCACAGAAGTTAGAGTGCTCAGTCAATTCAATCCAAAACCCAACGCTTGCCCCCAGCCAACACACTCCCCTGGGGATCCCAAACACTAGGCTGCCATCCCGAGGTCAGTAGGGTGAAACATGAGGTCAAGAAAGAAGGCTGTGAGCTGGTATGGGGAATCAGGCAAGGAGTAAGGCTATTCCCTTCCATTTCCTACATAGCCAACCAGGGACCTCTGGCCAGAGCATAGGAACCCAGAGGGCCACACCTTTGGGCCCTTTGAGCAGGTTGACCTCCATGATGGTCTCAGGTGGGGGTTGTCGCCTCCGCACCACCAACCGCACCACAGGGCCCGCCTCCTTCAGCGCCTCCACAGCTCGGCTGTGCACCACCTCTGACACGTCCACCTCATTCACCCGCAGCACACAGTCATTCACCCTGTGGGGGAAGCCCAAGAGGCATGACACTGTGACACAACCACTCCACCCCTCTCTCCCCTCCTACTGCTCCTCTCCCCCAACCTCCTCATTCCTTTCCCCCTCCTCCTCTCAGATTGAACCAAAGGGCCATCCTGCCAGGCAGTCCTCCTCCCCTCATCTCCATCCTCCCCCTGCCTCCCCCAGCCCTGCTTCGAGGCCACCTCACCCTAGCCTCCCGTCCATGGCAGCTGCTCCACCAGGAATGATCTTGGTAATGAAGATGCCGGGGTCATCAGGGACATGGGGATTGTCAATGCCACCTGCGATGCTGAAGCCCAGGCCGGAATTGCCCTGCAGAAAGGAGTGGAGGGGCACAGTCTGCTCACTCAGAGGGCATGAGGAAGGGTTCCTGGTTCCCCAACCTCGCCTAATCCCCAGGCCAGGTGCTCCAGGCCTCAGAAGGGGCCAGGGCAGACCAGGGCACATTCATCAGAAACCTGGTGGCTTCCCAGCCTGTGCTGATCATTTTGGCGTAGAGGCCTCAGCAAAGCCACCCCCTCCCCAGTTCCCCAGGCTTCAACAAGCAAGGTCAATTAATATTTGTTAGTCGGTTGACTGATTGATGCAGTGATGTGGCCTCTGAGTGCCGCTGTTTCCCTATCCTCTCAATGCAGGTCCCCCTCTGAGTCTTAAGAGTGAGGTTCAAGGCCCTCCTCTCTCTTGGCTCAATCCCTCCCCTCCATTTTCATCCCATCCCACTGACAAACTCACCCGCTCCAGCACTATCTCCTCATACTTGAACATGCCATCGCTGCCATTTACCTAGGGGAAGACACAGGCAGTTCCCTAAATGCCTTCTGTACACCCCCCAGCCAGATGCCCCCTGGTCAACCTGCTCCTCCACACTCCCCACAGAGTAGAAGAGCCCAAATAGATCCCAGACACCTATTGGCCACAGATGGGGACAGGCTGACCCTGAGGAGTCCACCTCCTCCCCTTGCTTCCAGCCATAACATGCCAAACTCAGCTGTTCATTTAGCTCAGATCAATGGTCTGGGACTGAGCCAGCCAGTGGTGCACTCAAGGAGAGACTGGGCTCCAGGGCCTTGTGGTTCACTAGGAGGGGTGCAGAGCTGGCCTGAGGGGGGTGGCAAAAATGGAACATGGCAGATAAACCAAGCCATGCCCAGCATCCATGGGGGTACCCAGGACCTGGACAGGGACCTGCTTGCCTTCCTAACCACAGCTCTCCATGGTGCAGATCACAGACTCCCACTGTGTCAGAGGTAGAAAGACAGAAGATACCATCTTGTCCAATCTCCCTTATATGATAAATGGTGACACTGAGGCTCAGAGAGGACACAGATTGTGTTAAAGGCACACTGGGAGTTAGTGGCAGAGCAGAGACTAGAATCTGGATTAAAGCAAGCTGCCAAGGCCACTGATGTGTTGGCCACTCATCCCTTTCCCCAGCAGAGCTCATGGGAAAAAAGGAAGTTGCCTTCTTCAGAGTACCTCATAAACCCTCATTCTCCATCTCCTAATGTGTCCCCAGGAACCCAAGTCTACATGGGTAGAAGGAGTGAAAGTCCTAATCCATTTTCAACCAAGAGGTGTTTAGTACGGAACCCTTTGTGTTTCCCAGCAGGAAGGCCCAGGGTAGGATCTGGCCGGGAGTCAGAGGCAAAGCCAGGGTTGCTACAGGAGCAGAATGGACAATATTCCCCAGGAGGGGGAAGCTGATGACCATGGACCGATTGGCAGCAGAGTCCATGGCCTTCAACAGGCAATAGCCATGGGAGAAGACACAAGGGAAGGGGACAGAAACACAGGGTTAGTGTGACCAGCCCACAGAGGTGGCCTCCCAGACAGCACATACTAGTAGCCATTGTCAAGTAAAAATCTGATTCTGGACAGACAAGTAGCATCTGCTTTCTGGCTCCCACTCTCATCATCCCCCCAAATGGAGAAACCCTCTTGCCTCTCTCCCCAGGTAACCTGACAGTCCTTCCCCATCTTTCTCTGGCTCTTGCCTTACCCCTAATCTCCTCCTCTGAAAAGGGGACCTGGGAACCCAGGGTGGGGGCTCCTCCATATGCCCTGTTCTGCTTCTCTCTCCCACCTTCACCCCACACACCTTTGGCTTTGAGAAGCAGAGAGGATGAGATGAGGAGAGGACTGGCTAGAAATGCCTCTACCTTTTCTGGACCTGACTCCAAGACTTTATGCCCTGCAGCTCTAGGAGCTGGTGGGAGGACTCCAGCTGCAGCCCCACTCTGGTCCCTGATCCCAGGAGGAACTGATGGTTCTTCAGAGTCCCCAAACCAACACAGCTGCCTGAAGTACCATGCGACAGAAACGCAGGGAAAAGAACACCTGCACATGCAGCTCTTGCATGCATCTGGGGTACCATGTGTGCCCACATGTTATAAGCCATGCTTCAAGCCCAGCTCCAGTGAGATCCAGAGGCTCCTGCTCCCAACTGGTCCACCCTCCCACTGCCCCCCTCAGGGACCCTGCTCCCAAGGCCAAAAGGCATCCAGAGATCAGCCCCAGCAAAGAAACATTGCCAACTGTCACCCATCTCCCAGCTGAGCAGGACAAGCGTAAGAGAGTGTTTGCAAGGATAGGGCCCCTGGATAGAGAGGAAAAGGAGAGAGGTAGACTCGCTGGAGAAGGCAAGGGGCCAAGGAAAGAGACACAAGAAATAGTAAGTGTAGACAGACAGAAGGGCAGAACCAAGGAAGGACTCCTCTCCCCAGGAAGTCCCCATCATTGCTTCTGAGTGAGAGCACATCCTATCCCCAGAGAAGGACAGAGGTGGCCAGAATGGTCACTACCTGCTCTCGACAGCAAAACCTCCTCCTCTCTCCCTACCCTGGGGACTGCAGAGCCAAATAACCAGGCAGGCCCTCCGCCATGTGTGCCAGGGACCTGGCTCTGCCGGCCCAGCCTCCATTTTGCTGCTTCTCCCACAGATGCTCCTTCCATTTTCTAAGCTGGCAGTTTAGGCTGGGAGTGGAAGACAGAGTTGTGCCTTGCACCCAGGGGTTCCCAAGCTGTAAGCCATACGTGGGGGCCAAGTTCTCCCACGTCTGGGGGTACCTAATGGGGCATGCCCCACTGGGGGCAGTTCTTACACCAGAGCAGATGTCCTGTGCCCGGCTCCAGGCATCATGCCTGTTCTGGAGCGAGGAAGCTTGTTTCAGTCCCCCCTCCAGCACACACACACTTCAGAGCTGCTTGGACAAAAGAGTCTGTCCTTCTCGGCATCCTCTCAGCCTTGCTTGGGACGTGTCTCTCTCTTCCTCTCCTTCCCCTCCTTTGCCTGTCAAGCACCTCTTCAAAGGGACACACACACACACACCCCACACAAACACACACACACACAGAGGCACATATGTGCACACACTTGCAGCCACATGCTCACACACATATACATGTAGCGACACACACGGGGAAACACAGCCGTCCCTGAAGCCTCATATACAGAAACACCTCCGCGGTCAGACATTCTCATACGTCCATGTGCACATTCACACACAAAGGGACTGGGACGGAGAGGGACTCATGCCATGGAAGGATGAAGCTCAGCGAGCTGGGCACATGGGCTCTACATAGATTCACAGGAGCTTCATTGCCTTTCTTCACACACCTCAACATACACACACACACATCACACATCACACATGTCACATGTCCCCCCTACGCAGAGCACCATGCCCCCTCCTCCCCTCCCGCGGAGACACACCACACACAGCTCCCGCAGAACCTCCCGCCCCTGCCAGACACAGAGACACTGCTGAGCCCCCGCACTGAGACAAACCCAATTCCCCACACAGGAAAATGTGCTCCTCCGCCATACCTTCACCCCCGACACACACAGCTCCTCACAACCCCCTCCAAACGGAGACCCCCAAACAGACACACACTGTGAAGCATACATTTCCTACCATCTCTCCTGGCCCAGCTGCAATGCTAGGGCTTAGGGTCCACTGGTTTGGAGCCCCACGAACCCGTGCTGCACCCCAGGCCTCT